AGGTAGTTAGGTTTTAGGGTTTTTTTTTTTTTTTTTTTTTTTTTTTTTTTCTACTCTCTCTAACTTTTGCTGAGCAATATAAAGATGGAATGAATGAAATTAATGATCTTTGTAGACAGAGAAAGTACCTGAAGCTAAGTAAAACCATTTTTTCTCTCTCTAACTTTTGCTAAGCAATATAAAAATGGAATGAATGAAATTAATGATCTTTGTAGAGAGAGAAAGTACCTGAAAAGCTAAAGAAAACCAACACCGTGAAGGAATGAGTGGATTGAATGATATTTATAGAGAGAGAAAGAGTAGAGATTATATATGGTTTTTTAGGTTTTTCTCTCAAAAGTTTTCCACCAGCAACGTGAAGGAATGAGTGGATTGAATGGTATTTTATAGAGAGAGAAAGAGAATGCGTGTGTAGTGAGAGAAAAGAGCATAAATGGTTTTTAGCTTTCTTTCTCTAGAGTTTTTGCGTTTTTGCTTTCTCTCTCTAACTTTCTCGCTCTCTCTCTCTCTCCAACTTATGGGGAGGAAACGCGTTTGAATCAAATGTGAAGAGCGCTTTAAAAGCGCGGGTTTTTAGTTGGGTCCCACTTTCTCTCTCTCTTACGCGCCAAATCACGAGCCCCAGTGAAAGCCCTCGTCTTTGTCTCGTAAGACACGGATGCCCTTTGAAAGGTCCCAAAGGCTTTTGTAAGCCCTAGGACTCACACACTTGTACATGTTCGTCCCCTCTTCATGTTCCACTTTTAAGATAGATTTTTTACCTAATTTTTAGAGATATATATATATATAATTTCTAACATGTAAAATAATAATTTAAAAAAGAAAAATATATTTTATAAAAATTAGATTGTAGATTTTTGTCTTTTTTTTCCGAGGGACCACCACTTTACATCTATCTTTTTTTAATTGCCCATGGAACCATGTGTCTTGGAATTTAAGAGTTAAATTTTCTTCTTTTTTTTTCTCTATGTGCTCATGTGGGTTTTAAACCTTTTATTTGCCACAATTATGCCCATGAAATATGGTTTTTTTTTCCATTTCTAGTGATATTTGGGTAAGGCTGCGGCTTACGAAATTTGGAAAGAGCACGCTTCAAAGCCCAATTGAAAAACTCAAATTCGGTTCTAAAAGAAGTTGTGATGGCCTACAAATTTAATTTGGTCCCTAACAAAATTTAAAGCTCCATAAATGGGGCAGATAATGGCAGGTAAAACGGTTGAGATTGACACCCCCAAACAAATGTCCCATCCCTTTTTTGAGAATTGGACACAAAAACTCTTTTTTTCTAAATTAATTGTATTATACCCCAAATACAATTATTGGGCAAATAAATTATTTACATAATATATATACTAATAAAAAGCACCTAATGTTATTTAACTGCTAATGAAATTTGTTATGCAGGAGCAGGAAGAGTTTTAACGGCCAATGAAGTAGAGATAGAAGCGATAGAAAGAGGGCTGGAGCTTATTATCAAAAAAGGTGTGAAATGATCCTTGTGTTATTGAAGGGGACTTTTTGTAATTGGTTGAGAAAAAAATTGATAAAAATTATGGAAAAAATGGATAAAAATTATGGAAATGTGCTGTAGCTTGTAAGTTTCTTTTCAACATGTTTATAGAGAGACAAATTCAATTGCTGATGGACTTGTGAAAAGGGGTGTGACTCTCCAATCTATTTTAATTTATGATGTTCTCCCTCCTTGAAATAGTGTCCTTCCCCTTTGATTAAAAAGAGAAAACACATGACTGTGTGCACATGTAAACATGCATTTGCCCATACTATACCCACATGCAAAGTATCTTTATCCATACTAGTTGGGGTACCCTCGTTCTATTGTTATAAAATAGGGATGCTATACAATAAGTCTATTTATTGTTTTATTTTATTTTATTTTAAAAATTATATATATATATAAAAGGTTGTAATTTTATATAATTGAAATAAGATGCACCTCATAAATATTCTAGAAGAGAGTGTTTTGAAGTTGGAGAATCTTCTAATTCATCATCTCGCCCTTGAGAGGTATTTGTGCGAAGAAGAAAAAAAAATTGAAGTCTTAAAAATAATGCATTTTATAACAAATTATCTGGACTGTCTAATTTCAATATTTTCAAGTATTCATATATTTACTCAATCATACCATTTTTCAAATTCTAAATTTTATAGTTAGGGATAAAAGTAAAAATTTCAAGTCATAATGAAGTTTCCGACACCCAAACTACATCTCCAAATAAACTTTAGACGTACAATCACTTCTAATGTATAAGGATGGCGTCTTATACAAACCTCGCCATTGTTTTTATTATAAAAAAGTAAAATCACTCTCAACTCTTAGCTATCATACATGAAATCGGGCTGCTCAGGGTGTGCAATTAGCCAGGCTTAAATTTTACTTTTAAGAATTTGTACAATAAAATGGTAAGCCCCAAATATTCAGTTTTACTTTTTATAGTTAAAAATAATTGTGATTTTTTTATACCAAAAATAAATTACTGTATAAAATATGCTAAAGCAAACTCATGTAGCATCTACACATTTAGGAGTCAATACACGTGTGCTAAAGCATGCATGAGCGTGTATGTGGCCCCCACTTTAAGAGGGAGAGAGATTGCCTAAAATATGCATAAACAAGGTGCACTTTGGTGGGTGCACTAGCGTGCGAATATTCTAAAATGAGAGATGGTGAAGTCTAAAAGCTCCACTACATTCCTTTTCTGATCCGGACCTGACTTGGGACTCGAGAGGTGGATCCGATCTGGATTTGTATTGTTGGGTGAGTGTGGCCATTAAAGATTTTATTAGTGCTTGTGATGAAACGTTTGATATAAGGAAACATAAACTCAGCGAGAGTGTGGTATCTCGTGTGGTATCTCGTGGACCATA